GCTCTAAGTTCATGAAAACTGTGAGGGAAGGGAAGGGAAGGGAAGGGAAGGGAAGGGAAGGGAAGGGAAGGGAATTTCCCAGGCAGCAGGGATGGGCTCAGCTCCACTTATCCCGAGTTTTATTCCGACAGATCGGGCAGGAGGAGATGGTGGCGCTCCTGAATTCCCACGGCTGAATTCCCGTTTCCTGAGCCCGTGGGCACAGAAGGCCTGGATTGGGAGGGATCCTAAGGATCATCCCATGCCATGGCAGGGAATTCCCGCTGTCCCAGGCTGCTCCAGCCTGGCCTTGGGCACTGCCAGGGATCCAGGGGCAGCTCTGGGAATTCCAGATATCCAAATATCCCAAAAAATCAGGATCCCAAATATCCCAAAGAACTCAGGATCCTCCCATCCAGGAATTCCCAATTCCCAACATCCCATCCATCCATCGGGAGCCATTCCCTGTGTTCTGTCCCTCCATCCCTGATCCCAAATCCCTCTCCAGCTCTCCTGGAGCCCCTTCAGGCCCCGGAAGTGGCTCCGAGCTCTCCTTGGATTCGTCTCTTTTCCAGGTGGACATTCCCGGTTTTCCCGGAGCAGAGGGGCTCCAGCCCTGGAGCAGCTCCATGGGATCCTCTGGATTCACTTCCTTCCTGCCCTGAGCATCCCTGGATCCCTGGGATCCCAATCCATCCCAATCCCATCTCCAAATCAACATTCCCGGGCTGGAATTGTTGGGAAGAACCTCCAGGAACATTTCCCGAGGTGAAACATTCCCGGCGCTCCGGCCCTTTCCAACTTCCCGAAAAAAGCCTGGAAAGGAACGGATCCTTTGGAGCCTCCCGGCTGGAAAAACTTCCCCAGGCTCCGTTTCCACAGCAACGCTTTTCCCAAGGCGCCGGCAAAACAAATCCCAGCGGGAAAAAAAAAATCCGGGAATAGCGAGGACGAGGCAAAGCTCGGGATCGCCCGGGCCTTCGGGAAAGCCAGGAAAGGGCGGAAAAGCAGGAAAATCCTGCGGGAAGGAGCCGCTCCCGCTCCGGCCTCCGTGGAGGAGCGAGGATGTGGCTCTGGAGCGAATCCAGGCGGGAACAAAAGGTTAAGATGAAGCCAAAGGGATTTTTCCGGCTGGAGGAACGAGGCAGGGAACGCTCCAGAGCCGTGGGAGACTTTTCCTTCCCACAAAAACATGGGAAGGATCCGGCTTTTCGTGGATTTGGGGATAAAAAAGCAGGAGAAGGAGCTGTGGCAAGTTCTTGGATGAGGATTTTGGGGATGGAAGAGGGAACACGAGCCTGGAATTCCCCCAGCGATCCCAGCTGGATTTGGTGGGAGAGATCCTTTGGGAATGTCAGCAGCAGCCACATGGATCTTAAAAGGAGAGGAATTCCCAAAGAATTTTCCCAGGAAATTCCCTCGGAGCGGAACTTTGAGCCATCAAATCCCGGATTTTTACAGCACGGGGAAAAGGGGAAAAGCTGGAAATCTGGGATGTGCCCAATGGGAAATCCCAAATCTTGTCCCAAATGATGGGAAAAGTCCCTCATTCCCCACGTTCCATGGGAAGAAAGGAAAAGCGGGAATCCCAAACCAGGAATTCCTGAACTCCCAGCTTTTCACTTCCATTCTCTGGATAATCCTGGAAAATATTCCCACAAAAAGCTTTCCCACAGCTCAACCTCCGCTGGATTCCCTCGGGAATCCCAGCCCTGCCCACAGCGGAGCCTCCTGGAGCAGTTTCCCGTTTTTTCCATGGAATTTCCCAGCAGGAATCTCCTCAATCCATGGATTTCTTCCCCTCTCCCGCTCCTTTTTTCATCTGAAGGATTTTCCTCGTGGGAATCTGATCCGGAAATTCTGGGAGCAGACAGAAGAAATTCCCTTTTTTTCCTGTTTTTGGTGCCTCCAGCTCCAAGAGAATCCCAAAAAAACCCTGGATTTTTCCACAGGCAGGACACAATCCAGGAACATTCCCGTTGTTTTCAGCGGGAATAACCCAAAATTCCATCCCCGAGCCACCGGAGTGACGGGAAAACTCCAGGAAAAGCAGAATTCCTGAACAGAAGGGATGAGAAAAACTGGGAAAATTGGGACATTTCCGGGAGATTTTCCTTCTTTCAGCTTCTCCCGGATTTTTAGGAAGTCCTGGATTTCCAAGGAATTTTTTGCCGGTGAAAATCCACTGTCCTTGGAATGTTTCCTGGAGATCTGAAGCTCGGGATCGTTTGCATTCCCTGGATTTCTGGGAAACGACTGGAATGGAACCGACCGGGAATAAAGGGAAGGGATAAAAATTGGGAAAAGCCTTTCACAGCTCCTAAAAAAAGCAGGAAAAGCTTCCCAAGGATCTTGAGCTGCTCCAGGAAAACTGCTGGAATTTTCACCATCCTCCGGGAATATCCAGCCTTTATTCCCTTTAAAACCCGGAATTCCGGGTTTGCTTTGCTTCCCGATGGATTTCAGGCCTGGAATGTTCTGGATTCCCCATCCATGGAATTGGATGAGCCTTAAGGCCCCTTCCCAAAAGAAATCCGGGATTTTGGGATTCTCCTCGCTTTCCTAAGGCAGGAATTTCCATCCAAACCTTTTCCACATCACAACAAAATTCCCAAATTTCTCTCCTGAGGGTTGGGAGCTCTCCCGGAATCCTCCAGCAGGAAAAGTCTCCCTCTGTATCCAAGCTTTTTTTCCAGGAGCTCCAGTGTCCATCCTCCATCCCTCTGGAATGACACTGGATCCACCCAATTGGAAAAATTTCTTTCCAGCCTTTTTTTTATTCCCATACTTTTATTCCCACCTTTCTTTTCCTGCCTTTTTTCCCGCCTTGTTTTTCCTTTTCCACCCTTTTTTTTCACACCTTTTTTTTCCTTTTCCACCCTTTTTTTTCCCACCTTTTTTTTCCTTTTCCACCCTTTTTTTTCCCGCCTTGTTTTTCCTTTTCCACCCTTTTTTTTCCTTTTCCACCCTTTTTTTCCCACCTTTTTTTCCTTTTCCCACCCTTTTTTTTCCCCGCTTTTTTTCCCTTCTCCCACCTTTTTTTTCCCACCTTTTTTTCCTTTTCCCACCCTTTTTTTTCCCACCTTTCTTTCCTTTTCCCACCCTTTTTTCCTTTTCCCACCTTTTTTTCCCCGCTTTTTTTCCCTTCTCCCACCTTTTTTTTCCCACCTTTTTTCTTTTCCCAGCCTTTATTTTCCCCTTTTTTCTCTTTCCCCCCCTCTTTTTCCTTTTTTTCCTTTCCCGCCCTTTTTTCCCACCTTCTTTTCCTTTTCCTGCCTTTTCTCCTTTCCTGCCTTTTTTTCCCACCTTTCTTTCTTTTTTCCCATATTTTTTTCCTTTCCAACCTTTTTCCCTTTCCCACCCTTTTTTTTCCCGCCTTTTTTCCCTTTTCCCGCCTTTTCTCTTCCCGCTCTCAGCTTTCCATCCCTGGAAAAGCGGGAATTCTCCATTCCAAACTGAAGAGCCACTCAGAATTCCCAGGAACAGGATGACCCCGAAGGTCCTTCCCAACAAAGCGTTCCATGGAATAAACCGGGAATTCCCAACGGGAATCCCCATCCCAAAGAGGCTCCGGGTCACTCCTCGTTTCCACAGATCCCATCCCAAAGCTCCGGCAAAAAGGGCGAATCCGGCCGGAATTCCGGGAGGCGAAAGGAGCCCGGGATGGAATTTGGGATCCAAAGGAGTTTTGAATCCTTTTTGAATGGATGAAAATTCCGGGAAAATCTCCGTGTCCGTCGCCGTGGAGATGGAGGAGCGGCGGGAAAATCCGATCCCGGTGATTTTTTATGGAATTAACCCTCCCCTGGAAAAATCCCGGCGGGAAAGAGCCAGGTTGGATTCCAGGAGAAGGAAAACGGTGGAATTGTGATTTTTCCAAAGTTTTGTCTCCACCAGTGACGGGAAAGGAATTCCGGAATCCTGGAATTCTTGAGGTTGGAAAAGGCTGGGAGATGGAGTCCAAGCGTTCCCAAGGGATCCGCAGGGATTCCAATCCCTCCCGGAATGGGAATTGCCTTGGGAGCGGAATCCCGAATATTCCAGAGGCTGCGTGTGGAGGGGGAGGGGCTGGAGAGCGCCAAATCCTCCGGCCCACCTTATCCCAAAGAACTCGGGATCCCAAAGAACTCAGGATCCCAAATATCCCAAAAGAACTCAGGATCCCAATTATCCCAAAAAAACAGGGTCCCAAATATTCCAAAGAACCCGGGAATCCCAAATATCCCAAAGAACTTGAGATCCCAAATTACCCCAAAAATCTTGGGATCCCAAAGAATTCAGGATCCCAAATATCCCAAAGAACACGGGATCCGAAATATCCCAAGAAATAGGGATCCCTAAGAACTCGGGATCCCAAATATCCCAAAAACTCGGGATCCCAAAGAAATCAGGATCCCAAATATCCCAAAGAACTCGGGAATCCCAAATTATCCCAAAAATCTTGGGATCCAAAAGAACTCAGGATCCCAAATATCCCAAAAACTCAGGATCCCAAATATCCCAAAGAACTCAGGAATCCCAAATATCCCAAAAATTTTGGGATCCCAAAGAACTCAGGATCCCAAATATCCCAAAGAACTTGGGATCTCAAAGAACTCGGGATCCCAACTATCCCAAAAACCTCAGGATCTCAAATTTCCCAAAGAACTCCGGATCCATGTGGGATGTTCGGATTCTCCTCCAACACCTCCAAATCCATTCCAGACCCTCTGGGATCCCAAAATCCTCATTCCAAACTCTCTGCGTCCCAAATATCCCCAGACCCACCCCAAACTCTCTGTGCCCCACCCCATTCCCAGCTCTGGTCCCGATCCTCTGCATCCCAAATATCCCAAAGAATTCGGGATCCCCGTGGGATCCTCTGGTACCCCCAGCCCCATCCCAGCCCCTCTGGGATCCCAAAATCCAGTCCCAAATATCCCAAAAAAACTTGGGATCCGCCTGGAGCCCTCTGGCACCCCCAGCCCCCTCTGGGATCCCAAAATCCAGTCCCAAATATCCCAAAAAAACTTGGGATCCGCCTGGAGCCCTCTGGCACCCCCAGCCCCCTCTGGGATCCCAAAATCCCATCCCAAATATCCCAAAAAAACCTCGGGATCTGCCTGGAGCCCTCTGGCACCCCCAGCCCCCTCTGGGATCCCAAAATCCCATCCCAAATATCCCAAAAAAACCTCGGGATCTGCCTGGAGCCCTCTGGTACCCCCAGCCCCCTCTGGGACCCCCAAAATCCTCAAAACCCATCCCAAATATCCCAAAAAAACCCCTCGGGATCCGCCTGGAACCCTCTGCCTCCCTCCCAACTCCTCAGGGACCCCAAATCCCATCCCAAATATCCCAAAAAAACCTCGGGATCCGCCTGGAAGCTTCTGCCCGCCCCAGCCCCCTCAGGCCTCTCTCCAGGCCCGTTCCAGGCCCCTCCCGCCGCCTCGGCCCCACCGCGGCCCCTCCGAGCGCCTCCCCCGCGTTCGCCGCGCCCTGCCCGGCCCGACCTGCAGCGTTCGCTGCCTCAGGGCCCGGAGCCGCTCCCGCCGCTTCAGCGCCTCCTCCTCCAACCGCCCCAGGACCAACCCCGCCGCCTCCTCCGTTCCTTCCGTGCCGCCACCGGACGCCGCCATCTTGTAGGCCTCTTCCCTCATGCCGTACAGCGCGCGGTGCGCATGCGCGCTAGGCAGAGCGTGCCGAGCGCCGAGCGTACGGATGGGAGCAATCGATTTGTTGGCGGGGGGTGGGGTTGGGAAAGGGGAAGGTAAAAAAAAAAAAAAATCGCCCTTAAATATTTGGGAATGGTTTAAAAGGAGAATAAAAAGGGAATGAAGGAGGAATTGTCGTGTTTCGTTTTGTTGGGGGTGTCTCCTAATGGGAGCGAGGCTTAGCTGCGCTAATTGGTGTTAATTATTTGGGGGGGGGGGGCTTTGTAAATAAATTTATATTTTTTGGGAAGCCGGGAATGCGGGAATGGAACGTGAAATCAGCCGGGGATGGGGATGGAGATGGGGAAATGGGGAAGGGGCGTTTTCCCCGCCCCAGCAGGTGGAGGGGAGTCCCCGCCCCAACACCTGGGGGAGGTTCCAGGGCCGGGCTCGGGGATGGGGGGGGGGTCGGGGGGGGCGGAGCCGCCGCTGGTTCCCAGCCGGGCCGGCCCCGGGCATGGCTTCCCGGGAGCGCCTCTGCGAGCTCTGGATGCTCTACTTCGCCAAGGTGAGCCGGGCACCCCTCCCCGGGCACCCCGCACCCCCTCCCGCCACGGGGGCTCCCCCTTCCCCACCCCGCTGTTTGCAATTCCCGCCTCCCCCCCATCCCCTCCTGTCCCCCATTGTCGCATTCCCCCCGGTCCCCACCTCCCTCCCCCCGCCCGGGCTGCGCTGTCAC